TAGCCCGCCAAAGTCTGGAAAAGCAAAAAAAAAAAAAAAGAAAAAAAAAAAAAAGGGAAAAAAGACGAAGAGGCGAAAATCCACGCCCAAATATCAATCCTCAAAACCGCCCCAGTCCTCGTCCTCCTCTCCCCCTTGTTCCTTCTCGTCACCGCTCTCCCTCGTTCCCCAAGGCAGCCTCTCGTCAGCATAGCTCTCAGAGGCCCTATTCCGCACGCTCTTGACAGGACTCGCCCTCAACGAATCCACCATGTCGCCCACCCTGCGCACCCATTCCTCCCTCGCCGCGGCGTCGTCGTCGTCGTCGTCGTCACCGTCGCCCGCTGCGCCCAGGGCCTTCTCCCTCTCCAGCTCGTCCACCCACAGATCCAGCACATGCAGCCTCAGCCCCAGCGACACGCCGTCCTCGTCGTCGGCATCAAAGGCCAGGCGCTTCCACACGTCGAGCATCTGCTCTACCTGCTCGCCGGCCCAGCCCCTGCCGCGCGCGAAGCGCACCTGCGCGGCGAACGCGCGCCGCACCAGCAGCAGGAACTTGTCCATGCGCAGGGCGTCAATCGACGCCCACTGCCGCGACAGCACGCCCCAGAAGCCGCTGGCAAAGGGGACGGCGCACGCCGCCGGCACGTCCAGCACCAGGTTGGCGAGGTCCGCCGCGAGCGCCTGCTGCGGCCGCGGCCGGTCCGTCATCCACAGCGCGTAGTACAGTCCTGTCCAGAGCTTGAGCGCGTCCGCGGCCGGCAGGCCCGTCCTCGACGACAGGTACGTCTGCAGCGCGGCGAGCGATTGCGTGCGCAGCTTGCGGTCTGTGAAGGGGGGGTTTTGCTACCAAGTCAGCGGATGGTCGTGACGGGGAGGGGCGAGCGCGACGGGGGAGGTTTACCGCTCGAGGCGAGGTTTTTGATAAACGGCATCTGGGATTCTGCGGCGGCCATGGTGACGCTGTCGTCGTCGTTGTCGACGGAATGTCGTAGTTTTTTTTCTTTCTTTTGTTTTTTGGCAATGGCGATGCTGTGACGTCTTTTGAAGCTGTAAATTGTATGGAAGAAAAAAAAAGATTATTGTTGCACCCGCGCCCCACTTCCCAGGTTGGGCTTATCTTATCGGAGCTGCTTGAGCTGGACTTGCACATGCGAGCTAGCAAAAGTGAATGAAATTACCTTTTGTGTTGGGCCGTCGTGTAGCGCCGCCGCCAGCCTCGACTCGAAATAGCCGAGGCCACGAGCTCGAGTGTATCACGCAGAGGGGCCGGCGGGTGTACATGGCTTTGCTGGATACGACTGCGAGTCCGCGGCGTCGGAAGAGCCTCGGTGTTGCCGCTGTGCCAGACGGGCCAAGGGGACGAGGCCTCCGCGAACAACTTGTATGACGGTATGATTCCATATCGTCTACACCCACCCTGTTTTTGCGGGACGGCATGTTGTTTGTAAAAAGATGTCCCCGCCGTCCCCCTCCGCCTCTCCTCCCTGCCTCCCATCAACTACGTTTTGCCTGACCGTGGCGGGAACAGAAGGAACCAAGTTCAGCCTTGCGAGAAAACGTGCGCCTGTTGCACATGGCGTTCCCCCTTGCGACCTCATCTTCGCCTGTATTCGAGGACTTGCCGTCTCCCAAGTACATGCCGTCTCCTCCGAGCTCGCCAGCCACTTCGCGCAATGAAGGGGACGAGCAGGGCAAGCAAGGTGGCGAGGACGGACGCCTGCTGCCGCACCAGAACCCATCGTATCAGGAGAATCTACGGATTCGCCAGCGCAACCTGCTTAGCACGCTGGATCATCTAGACGCCAAGCTGGAGCCGTTGCTGGATGTCGATACTGGCAAGGCGATTCCTGGGTTCCCCCAGACGCTGAGGGATATTGACAAGCTGGGGTGTACGTATTGTATTTATTGGATCGTTGTCCTCTTCTTGCTCTCTTTTTCTTCTCGTTTGTGAAACTGACCGGGTTGGCGTGATGTAGACGACGAGGGGGTGAGAATTTTAAAGGCAGTGGGCGAATCGGATGTTCATGGCGATGAGTACGACGTTCTGTACCGTGTGCGAAGATGGGCTGCGAGTAAGTTGTTTTATGTTCCTTTGTGGATGTTTCCTGTGTCGACCGCTGGTGCTGACTTTGGCGTGGGCAGCGAGGCCGACTGAGAACGAGATGCCGTGCGAGGGGGAGGACGCTCGGGAGGACAAGAAGACCACGGCGTAGTTGGCACATTGGGAAGCACAAGTACGTACTTTTTGGGTGCGTGTAGTTTTGCAATCTTGGGCGTGTCGTCGAGAATGTGCGGCAATGAGGCTTGGATTGCCAAGATGGATACACGGAAGCACGAGAGGGAACGGGCAGCGGATGTGAATGATACAACACCACATCCTTGCATCATCTCCGCCATCCCCGTGCCTCATAGTCTTAAAACTGAGCCCGCGAAAAGATACCTGTATCACAGTTTGCAAATCGAACTCGACCTTTGTCATTCCACGGCACGGGAACCCAAAAGCCACCATCGACGGCATGCCGGCAGTTGGCCCCACATGCAGCCAGGCCCAAGACGCTCGCTCATGCACTCCACCCCTCCCCTCCCGCAGAAGCCGCCCCGCGGCAAGCCTGCCCCACCATCGTCACTTCCAACCGCTTCATCTCCAACCATCTACCTCTAACCTCCATCCAGCATCACCCCCAAAACCAAAGCAGCCATGTCCACCAAGCGCATCAGCAAAGTAAATATGCCCCCCCAAGCCGTGTCCTCCTTCCACGCTTGCCCTCTCGCCCAAAAAAAAAAAAAAAACTGACCCCTCAACAGGAATACGCCGAAATCTCGCAATCCCCCCCAGAGGGCTTCACCATCTCCCTCCCGCCCAACGAATCCATCCACACGTGGCAAATCACGCTCGTCCCGCCGCCCGCGTCGCCCTTCTACCCGGGCAAGTACGGCATCCTGCTCACCCTCCCCGTCGAGTACCCCTTCAAGCCGCCGGCCGTGCGCTTCACCACGCGCATCTACCACCCCAACGTGACCAACGACTCCCTGGGCAACATCTGCCTGGGCATCCTCAAGCCCGAGAACTGGAAGCCCTCGACCAAGGTCGCCGCCGTGCTCGACGCCCTGCGCAACCTGCTCGTCGAGCCCCAGCCCGACGACCCGCTCGAGGAGAGGATCGCCGACGAGTACCGCAACGACCGGCCCGCCTGGGAGAGGAACGTCCGCCTGCACGTCGACAAGTACGCCCGCGGGGAGCCCGTCTTCCCCCCCGTCACCAAGTAGCCCGAGCCCGAGGGCCCGTAAACATGCGCTGCTGCTGCGAGAAGCGAGCGCAGCGAGGACACCAATAGAGCGAAACAGAGGATGCCTGTCACGAGAAAAACGAGCGGAGCGAGGACACAAGAGAGGACGTACTGTACATTGAGCTAGAACACCTGTATCAAATTGTTTGCCGCATCTAACCCCCCTGCTTGCTCCTTCATCTCAGACGGCCCGCTCCGTGAGCACGTTTCTTGCACACCGCAACCGCCTTTGCCGTTCCTACGTCAACTAGCCATTTAGATACCTTGGGGATAGGGGATACGAATCGCAAAGCCCCGTGCTTTACGGGCAATCACATCAACACAAAACACTCCGCGTCGAATCCTCTGCTATTTTTCATCATCATCGGTGTCAATTAGCCCCGTTCTACCTATATAATATATATGCTGCCTTGACGCCCAGTTTGCTACCGTGCCAGATTCCTTTCTCTATCCAGAAACTGACAAAAAAAAAGAAAAAAAAAAAAAGGAAAAACTTTGATACATTGCCCCGGTACCCATCTATGCACGCACGCCACAAGTACACCTTCCATGCGCTTCGCCTCAAAAGCAAGCCGCACAGATATGCATTTCAACATCACTCCATTATGCCAATAGCCACTGGCCACTAGCATGGCAACATTCCAACCCCAGCCTCACATTTTGATGCAGACGTAAACGTCATGAGTTATCAAACATAACCCACTTGGCTTTCGTGGTGTCTCCCCCAGCAGAGACAACTACTTGCGAAAGGGCCGGTGGTGAAGTAACGAACTTAAAAAAAAAGAGGTATGCATGTCATCCAGGAAAGAAATCACAACGCTTCATGAAAGTACCAACTCTCCTCGGCCAAGATCCGGGAAGAGAGATGTGTAAATCGGTACGGCCTCGAAAGACCCAAGAAGAAGAGAAAAGAACAGAACAAAAGAGGGGTATAAGTTGAAAATTTGTGATGCTCAATCACGTATTTAACCACGTTTGGAGCAGAAGAACAAGTCAAAAAAGAATGAGATAGTCGGGTGCGGCCCAGTTCAGTGTTGAGTCTGCGCTTCACAGCACAGTTAAACCTCTGCAGCTCTCAAGTTGGCACTCATTTTCCTCCCAAAAAGAGTGCCTTTGCGTGATACGGAACCCGACTCCACTTCAGTCAAGTTGCCGCTGAGGTCCGTCTTGTCGCGCTGCTGCAGGCTCTGTTCGAGCTCTTGCTTGGCCTTTTGACGCCTTTCCTGTCGGCGTTCGTCAATGGCTCCCTGACTAAGATGACCAAATCCGTTTCGTCGCTTAAAGCAAGCTTCCATGAGAGCATTGGCGTCCAACATTCGCCGAGGGATTGCCTGGACAACTCCAAACATTTCCATCGGATCCTTGACCGCCTTGATTTCGCTCTCGCCGGTCTTAAAAATCGCCAGTGCAATGCGGAAGAGTGTCTTGGAGCCCTCGTAGAAGAAGACATCCCAGACTCTCAGTGTTGTCTCGATGGGCAACGTACCAATATAGCAACTCATGAACCAAGCCGTCATGCACAACGTGATCGGAGGTAGACGATCTGTAGACAACCTTGGCTGTTCCCGTCGTCGCAAAATGGGCCTAGTTCTGCGTATAGATTTACTCGTGCTGGGCCTGCCCGTGGGAAGGTTTTCCAGTTCGCCACCAATCTTGTCCCATACCGCGGGCATCGTGTCACGCAGCTCCGTCATGAGCACGCCCAAGTCCACCTTTGACCCTTCCAGGCTCATGTCGTGTGTCCCCGGCAGGTAGATAATGGTGATGACATTCAACAACCAAAAACATTGCTCTTCTGTCTCCACGAACAGCAGCAAGAGTCCAGCCAGAAAATTTAAGCTCTGGCAGTAACCAATACGCGGATTATAAATGGAGAAGGCATGCAAGACACGGCGAAGAGATGTGATAATCGGTGGCTCATTCGAAGCAGCGGGAGGCGGCCCCGGGGCGCTTTCATCCCCAGAGGAACCCGTCATTGTCGATTGGCTGCTTCGCTCGCTGTTGGGCACAGACTGGAAATTTGCTGACGGCTTGAACTGAATATTGTCCGGGAACGTCCTGTGCAGGTCCCGTTCAATTGCCTCGACATCCACCTGTTTGGCCGACTTATGCAAGAGCCTTTCGTACAAGCCAGCGTGTTTAGCCAATATTGCCGGCCCACCGGCATAGTAGAACCACGCTGCTCCACGCCAATCGGGCGGTATCCCCTTCCTCACAAATCTCTTCGTCTTTGCATTTGGCGAGGGGAATCGAATGGGACGATCCGTCATCAGGGCACAGTCTTTGAGGTAGGCCACCCACTTCCGTCGTCTCCGAGCAATGTACACCGAGTATTCTGCGTTCCAAGCATCGTACTGTTCTCTAGTAATAGATTGATTGGCCTTCTTAAAGCCATATCGGTCACGTGAGCCAGGGTCCTCAGGCTGAACTGGCATCGACGTGGGCGTTGGGAGTGCAGGCTCTGGGGCTGGAGATGATAAGTTCACGGTCGTTTGAACTTCCTTTGCGGGGGCAGAGTCTGATGTTGTTGATGGCTCAGAATCAAGCGACTTCGCCGAGTCCCGTTTTTCCGGCATGTCTACGTCGGCCTTCCCAGCTATGGCCGCCACAGATGCTGTGAAAGCTGGGCTGGTAAAGATCATCTTTGATTGACGGATTTCGGTGTCTAGTGTGGAGCGAGCGGTTGGTAGCTGTGGTTCGAGGCTCCTCTCAGCAACAGGGAGGGTGAAGGGAATACTCGGAACAGCTGGAACTGATGGACCATCGGGTTCTGATACAGCAGTCATAGGTCTCGAATTCATGTTGCCTTCGCTTTCGGGATCATCGAAGTCACTTTCGTTTTCATCCTCATCATCCGCAAAGCCCTTTTCGTACATGCCCATAACATCTTCCAAGCTAGGCTCATCGGGGTTTTCGAGGGAGGTGACAGAGCTGTCTTTTGTAAGAACACTACTGCGCTCTGTGACAGCTGTACCAGGGGTTGTTGAGGCAGTGAGCTGGGATCTGAAACTAGAGCGCAATTCATCCCCGCTCAGCCAGGGAGCGGTCCCACCCGCGCCTGGGCTTGTTAGAGGTGTTGAAACGGGATACTCGGGGCGGCCAAGGACAGCAGGAGTCCGAGCGGCTGTAAGAGCTGGTGGACCAGTGACATTTCTTGCACGATGCCTTGGCTCAATGCACTCGCTATTTGCGTATGGCAATGGAGAGGCGTAGGTGGAAGATGACTTGACAGAGGAGGCAGAGGGACGTCTAGGCCGTTGCCACGGAGGTGTTTGTGGCAAGGGGTTCGCGAGGTCCAGGAAGCGGTCTGTGGGATTTGGCATGTTGGCCAATCGTGGCCTGACAGGGTCTGGACTATGAAGGCTTTCCGGTGGTCCAGCTTGACGTATTATGCTCTGCTTTCGGGGTCTTGAAAAGTTCTCGACCAGAGGGATGCCCTCTAATGAACGCATATCTGCCAAGGATGTTTTAGCTTTAATCGACCGACATGGTGATTCATTTCGAGGCTCTGGAGTGCCTATCCTTAGGCTGCGAGGGCTTCGCAAAGATGGAGATACAGCCGGTGCAGCTAGAGGGGGAAACGGCTGGGGTAGCATAGCCTCAGGCTGCACTGTCGGTGACACCCTAGAACCAGAGATTGGACTCTGATTTAGTAAATGTAGCCCATGAGAAAGCGAGTCCCATCGGGGCGAGACGGGCAGTGGAGGGATCTCAGGTAGCTGTGGCACTTTTTCTCGAGCAGATGTATCGACAGTCAGCGGCTTGATTCTTGAGGCGTACAAGGAACATTTCCGATTGCGAACGGTGTGTTGGCCAGGAGGAATTGGGCCTTCTTCATCGGACTGAGGCACCGCCATGGAGTCCATTGTGGCAGTCCAGTGCCTAGGACCGCGGAAGAAGCTTGCGGAGTCTCGTCACTTGAGTATTATGGTTGAATGTAGATGAGCTGTTCCCACAAGTGTTTTCGGGGTGAATTCGAGTAGTGAGAGTGATCGGTCTGTGTTGCATGGATGCGAGACTAGGTGCAGGAAGAACAAATAAAACGCCACTGTCTCAACACTCGACTATCGTTGAATCAAGGAACATACAATTCGCCATAGCCGGGAAGGTGCGCTCGCTCGGTGCTAGGCGGGAGACGATGAGTCTGGCTGAAAAGCGTGTGCCGTAGTAGATGAAGCCGGTATACTAATCGAATTGTCGAATAAGTCCGGAGGGAGAGCAAGAAGAGGAAAAGCGTAGTTGGTCAAAGGAGCGTTCGGCAGCAGTGGTCAGTCGAGCCTTGGTATGTTGAACAGCCTACAAAGTTAGGAAAGAGTGGAAGCTAGAGATTGCTTTTGTCGTATCTCTGCGAAAGCCGCGATGGCTGGTTGTAGAAAGGAAGGAGAGACGGGGAATCGAGGAGACGTTTCGACAAAAGAAGCGAAGACAGCGTTGGCGACTGAAGTGGGTTGCGACAAAGAGTGGCACCAGAATAGGACCAGCGAAATGCTGTGCCTTGGTATGTCGGAATGCGATACGTTCAATATTAAGCTTTGCCCTAAATTGAGGCTGTTGGGCAACCTGTAGTCGAGATTGGATGAAACGTTGAGCAGAGTAAAATTTGGTTGGGCAGACGAAAAGCCGCCGGTGCAAAGTTTCCTGCGGCAGCTAGTGAGGCTTATGGCCACAAAATCCCCATCACAAACCCAGGACCAAAGTCAAAGACGGGAGTTGAAAGAACGAGAGTGGCGGAACTCGGTAAAAGAGGACTCGGTCAGGGATGGTGAATATGCTGCGAAGCTCGAAGTGTTTGAAGTTTGGTGTTGCGGTGCCAGGCTGCGGCTGTGATGGGATATTCTTGCTCGACCCGGATGTCACGAGTGTCGATTCAAGACTATGGGCTGTAAATCAACAACAGCAGCAGCAGCAGCAACACCTGAACAGGTCAAAGGCACGACTAGCGTGTTGTCCACGGCGACGCTCTTGCAGCAATGTGGCTGA